ATGTTGGAGGGACTGATGCAGGAGTCTGCCATGATTTTGGCAGAGTCCAAGAGAGCCTCATTAATAGGGAGGGCTATTCTGAACGAGGCAGAAGAATGTAAAATGTCCACTAGTTTGTGGTGTGACTTGGTCACCTCCAATAGTGGAATCTGTAGTGCCTTTGCCACCTGCTATGCCAGTTCCTGAAATAGTTTAGAGTCATCTGCCATCAATGGCGAAGGGAGCATCACCAACTCGTCTAGTGATGACGATGAGAAATTAGCCTGAGGGGTAACTTCCTCCTCAACTTCAGCCTCTTGTTCCTCCTTCATCTGTTCAGAGGGTTCAGATGCCCTCACAGCAGCAGCTCAAGGAGGATGTCTCCTTGGTTGCTGGTAGGCCACACTAGAGTTGTGGAAAACATGTTGTTTTTGAGCCTGCCAGGAATCCCAGTAGGGCCATTGTGAGGGTGGGAAGGGGACCAGTGGTTGGTACCCTGGCTCCTCAAACCAGGGAGGCTGTGGATAAGGTGGATCAGGTGGTTATGGTCCATAGTGGAATTGGGCACCACGTGGAGGGTGAGAAGAGCAGTGGGAGACCACGTCCTCTTGCTCATTTGCGGACTCGGAGGATGAAAAGGGTGGTGCATGACAAGAGGTCACTGGCAAGTCAAGAGCTCTGGGTAAACTTGGTACCATGGCCCCAGTTCTGAGCAGATGTGAATCCGGTGTGTCAGACACTGAAAGGTCCATCACATACCAGCAGTCTGGCGGCACCGAAGGTGTCTGTACCAGTGTTGTCGGTGCTGAGATATCTATACGAAAGCGTCGGTGATGTGGGCTTGGTAGTATGGTCTGTCGGTGCCCGGCGTACCATAAGCAGTATTGATGTTGATGTCCGTACCGGTGGTGCCTTCCCTGAGGCAGATTTTCTATGTTTCTGACACCCAGACGGTATCAGTGGTTCCTTGCCTGTGCCTATTGGGTCCTTCGGCAACCCAACATGCTCAGTCACGACAGTACTGTGAAAGCCCTGGGTACCGGATTTAGAAAGTTTCAGTGCCATCGGTACCGATGATACTGATTGTTTTTGGCTCAATCGAGGCTTACTATGGGCACTCACGGCCCTTTTCCCAGAGGCCTTACATGTGTGGCTTGTAGACATCACCTTGGGCTCATCTCCCTTAGATGTAGAGGGTTGTGGTGAGTTTTCCTGCCATCTGGGGTGTTGGTGCAGCTCGGATGGCTAAAGGGCTGCCTCCATGAGTTGGAGTTTGAGCCTCAGTTCTCTGTCCTTTCTGGATCTGGGCTTCAGTTGCTGGCATGAACCACACTTCTGTGGGATGTTTCTCTCCCAGACTGTGGACGCATTGAGACCGTCCATCAGTCACTGGGATAGATTCCTTGCAACTCAGACACTTCTTGAAGCCCGGGGAGCCAAATATACCCTGTCCCAGAGGGTCTCCAGACAGGGGATTGAAGAAAGAACAAAGTCCTTTTTTTTGCTTTTTAAGGCAATGGCCAAATAAAAGATAAACAAAATAAGAAAGAAAAAGAAGCTTCGAAAGGTAGCTAAAGATTAACAATTCTAAAGAGGTTAATAATGCACTAACGGACAGCTAAAGCTCCGTCTCTAGCCAGGGTCAGTTGAGAAGGAACTGAGGAGGAATTGGCAGAGCATGAGGGGCAGCGCATGCACGGGCTGAATGGACATTGCTACCAAAGTTTTCCGATCAGCAGTGGTGGGACGCAGACACACCTACAGTAGAGCACCCACAGAGACACTACTCAAAGAAGAAACATGAAAGTTTTAAGGTCTGAAATTATGAGCTTCCATAGCTAGAACTACATGAGTTATACCACTGAGAAGATGACCAGTGATATCCAACATTCATCCATAACCACAGCAGGGCATGATATTGGACCTTAAATTCATAACATCCTGATTTAGCTAAAATAGCTTTTCTATAACTTTCAAGAATTAAAAAATATAATAGTATTAACTCTTCTCCACCTTGGGATCTGTACATGATAATTAAGGCAACCAGGCAGAGGGATATGGAAGAGCATCAATAAACATTTTAAAACTGCGTGTTTTCTAAAAATATCTTTTAAAAGATGGTAAATATAATCACCATAATGCATAGTGGCATAAAGAATTTATTGGCAATAGGGGCCATGATTCCTCCACAGGAATTTTTGGTCACTAGATCTGCCTTGTCACAGATACAGAAGTCCCTCCTCCAGCCCAACCACCATCACTTTTGCACTGGTCCACTTGGGGCCAGCACTGACCCTCCTCCAGAGGGTGCCGAGTCCTCCCTGTGTATCCTCTCTGTCCACTGCCTTCCCCAATAGATCTACTCAGAGACCTATGTAATACAAAGGGCTTGAGATTGTTCCTCTGTTCCAGGGATGGGCAAACTTTTTGGCCTGAGGGCCACATCTGGGTATGGAAATTGTATGGCGGACCATGAATGCTCACGAAATTGGGCGTTGGGGTGTGATAAGGGGTGAGGGCTCCGGCTGGGGATGCAGGCTCTGGAGTGGGGCTGGAGATGAGGGGTTGGGGATGCAGGAGGATGCTCTGGGTTGGGACTGAGGGGTTCGGAGGGTGGGAGGGGGTCAGAGCTGTGTCAGGGGTGCAGGCTCTGGGCGGCGCTTACCTCAAGCAGCTCCCAGAAGCAGCGGCATGTCCCCCCTCCAGCTCCTAAGCGGAGACATGGCCAGGCAGCTCTGCGTGCTGCCCTGTCTGCAGGTGCCGTCCTTGCAGCTCCCATTGGCTGCTGTTCCCAGCCAATGGAAGCTGCGAGGGTGGCGCTTGAGGCAGGGGCAGCGTGCAGAGCCCCCTGGTTGCCCCTACATGTAGGAGCCAAAGGGGGGACATGCCGCTGCTTCCAGGAGCTGCACGGAGTGGGGCAGACCCCCGACTCCGCTCCCTGGTTGGTGCGCCACAGCACGGCAAGTCCCGGACCCCGCTCCCCTGCAGGAGCTCAAGGGCCAGATTAAAACGTCTGGAGGGCCGGATGCGGTCCCCGGACTGTAGTTTGCCCACCCCTGCTCTATTCTCTCCCACACACACACAGACCAAGGTGGATTTCACTCTTTGGAATAGAGTGCCCATCCCTTTTTAAGGCCTGGTCTACACTAACCCCCCAAGTCAAAGTAAGGTACGCAACTTCAGCTACGTGAATAACGTAGCTGAAGTCGACATACCTTACTTCGAACTTACCGCGGTTCAGACGCGGTCCACACGGGGCAGGCAGGCTCCCCCGTCGACTCCGCGGTACTCCTCTCGTTGAGCTGGAGTACCGCAGTCGACGGCGAGCACTTCCTGGTTCGATTTATTGCGTCCAGACCAGACGTGATAAATCGAACCAGGAAGTTCGATTTCCAGCCGCCGAACTAGCGGCTAAGTATAGACCAGCCCTAAGAAGCACCTTACATTTATGTAAAAAACAAAAACAATTATGGGGGGTGCAAGTGGCTCAACACTTCCCATAATCTGACTGTTTTCAGTTGCTTATAACTTTGCCAAAGTTTGGCACGTTGGATGTCTGCCTCAGGCTGAGTGTTTTGAGAAAGTTTCAGCAAAAATAGTTCAGCCTTTCCCAAGAATGATTAGGGAAAAATACATTGTTTTGCCTATGTTATTTTTTTTTTTTAAAAAGCTGTTTTGTTCAGAAGCTGTAGTGCCTACATGCTTTCAAATAAGGGCTTGAAAATGGGCTGGGGTCCCCTTGGGATCAAAGATCTGCCTTTTGCTGTTTGTATGAAAAAAAATACACAAATTTGGCCAAACTATGAGCCTTTGAAAAATTTGTTTGCATATGCTCAATAGAAACTTGTTAGAATTTGGCAGCTAAATGCTCAGAAGAGTCCATCTGCACTGAGCATTCTCTAGCCCAGCACTGAAAGGACTGAGCAGGACTTTCCCTGAAATTGCTGTTGTAGCATTGGGCACAGGAACTGAGAGCAGGATGATTGCCTTACCCGTGTTCTCAGTCCTAACCAGACAACGTGGAGGAGGAAGCTGCTGAGTCGACTACAGAGGGGACAAGAGCTGGACTTAGAAACCTAAATGGGAAGACTGGGACAGGGAACTGATGGGAGAGCTAGGATTGGGTAGTTAAGGAGACTGGGAGCCAGTGTGGGTGGAGGGGGGAGAGAGACTAGGAAGGGTGGGCAAGGAGACTGGGAGACATTGGGGGGAAGGGGGGCGGAGAGACTTGGAGCCTAAAATTGAACAAGGAGTTGGGGGAGACTGGGATTGAGAGTCTGGTGAAGCCTGGGGTTGGCTGGCAAAGAGACTGGAACTGGAATGAGGAGCCAGGGAAGAGACAGAGTGAGAAAAGCTCGGGCTGGAGGTGATGTGGCAGGAGTCAGGCTTGGAATGGAATAGGCAGAAGGATCTGTGACCACTAGACATACTCCCCTTCAAACCCAGAATGGTTGAGGAATAGAACCAAAGATTCCCAAATCTCAATATTCCTCTGCTGTTAGCAAATACCTGTGAACCGCCCTGTCAAAGTTTGTGTCTCATTCCCCCTCTAGTGACTGGTTCACATAGAGGATGACAATCTACTACTGCTATTGGTTAGCTCAAGCGGCAGAGGTCTGTGCTGTGGATCAAAAGGTTCTAATCCTGCAGATGACCCCTCTGGATGTTGCTATGATTGCACTACATGTGATGGAATATCTGGTTTTTGCATTGCTTTTTTATCAACCTAGGGAACTCATCCCTAGAGCACAGTCCATCGTATGAACCGAATGAGACTTCAGTCCTGTGGAAACAATTGTATCATCATGTATATGCACAAGGACGCTGAATTAAGGTTTTACAGGCATATAGTTTGTGTGTTTGTGTTTAAAGATATAACATGTAAGATCAGGACTATAAAATACACATTGGTGTGTGGCAAGCTAATGGTTTTATAGGCATGAATTTGGAGTGACTTCATTACTTGTGTCACCCAATCAAATTACCTGAAATCCAAAATATACATGTATTTAACATCTTACCTGCTTCACTTTTCAAATGGATAGAAGTTTCCTCATCCAACAAAATTAACCTGATTCAAAAACCAAAAAGAATTGGTCAGATTGAGCACTAAGATGCAAGATGTGTTGAAATGTTAGTGGCTCAACGCCAAAGAGAGAATTAAGGCCTACTTTTCCTCTCGCTAATGTTGGTTTTACATTTAGGTAACTCTAAGAATTTCAATGAGGTAGTTCTGGCTTTACACTGGTATGCGTGAGAGGAAAATCTGGCCCTTTCTCTCAAAATTTACAGAGCTAAAGCCAGATTTTGAAAAGGCTGAACTCTCTTAATTCCCAATAAGTGATCAGCACTTCTATAAACTACACCATTTATTAAATGCCTAACTATTGATTTAGAAGTCTAACATTAGGCAGTCATTTTCAGACCATCCTGGCCTGTGTTCATTTTGTATTTTTACTTTTTAAATTAACTTCTCTGTGCTTGGTGAACTTAAGGTAATGGAAACTGATCAAGACAATGAAGTGAGAAAATGGTCTTGACAGATATATAGAGAGTAACGCATATGAGCTAATATCTATTTACTATATCTGTTTTGTTTTTATTAAGATTGCAATAGGTTCTAAAACATGTTACAGATTGACACATTTCTTATAAACAATTGTGTAACTTTGCAAACTTTGGCAAAGTTTGCAGTAACATTTTTTATTTAACACTTTCATGGAACTTTGTGACTTGCTTTCCCCTGCCCTGAAGTGAAAAGACACCAAAATGAGAGCAGCCCTCACAGTTGAGAAGCAAGAGACCATAGCACAGTGGAAGCTTGCAACGGGGGTTCCAAAGAGGATGGATCTAGACTGTTCTCAGTGGTGGCAGATGACAGAACAAGGAGTAATGGTCTCAAGTTGCAGTGGGAGAGGTTTAGGTTGGATATTAGAAAAAACTTTTTCTAGGAGTTTCAACCTCACTAGGAGGGTGGTGAAGCACTGGAATGGGTTACCTAGGGAGGTGGTGGAATCTCCTTCCTTAGAGGATTTTAAGGTCAGGCTTGACAAAGCTCTGGCTGGGATGATTTAGTTGGGGATTGGTCCTGCTTTGAGCAGGGGGTTGGACCAGATGACCTCCTGAGGTCCCTTCCAACCCTGATATTCTATGATTCTATGATTCTATATATAAATTAATAAACAAGTTATCATCAAAGAAGGTCTAATCTGGCTAAGAACACTGACTACAAACAATTATTATGAGATGTTTTTGGTGGAGGGGAAAAAAAACAAATAAAAAAATCAAGAAAATGCCAAAGTGGAAAAAGAATGAAAAGGGTTTTAAAATGCATGTTGGAGAAGAAAGTAAGTTTATATATTATTATTTATGAATACTAGGAAGCAGAGACCCTCTTCCTAATGCCCACACCAAACATGTTCAACGTGTGTTTTTAATCCTCTACAATCTCTCATCATTTTTCTTCTTGCTTACTTATCAAGGTTTGTACTGATGGTGTCTTTCTCTATCTTCTCTTTATGTTCTTCAGTGGGATTGTTTAGGGAAGGCTCCTGTGGTTGCTGAGAAGTGGAGAAAATATATTTTGAGAGGAAACTGATGATATCTACAAATTCACCTCTCCAGTCTAATGATTTTAACACAGTAATCTATGTAGCAGTAACTTCTCTCTCAATTACCTGGTTGTAACAACCATTTTTTGTAATTAAGAAATTCTGGTTACACTTTGATACTGTGACTGTAGTTACACTGTAATATCACAGATGCACTAAAATTTTGGTCATACTTTATATAAAGATTCCATTTATAAATGATTTTATATAAAGATTAATAGATATTTTAGGCATGTTCCAGACATGAGTAGTATGTGTTATAGATTATTATGAGCACATCATTAGACGGAGTTATAGGTCATGGATAGTAATAAGCGATCTGTTGGGCTCTATAATATTCTAACAACCATTTATTAAAATATCACTTATTTATTAGCTCCTTATATATTCCATTTTTATAAATAGAACCTTAATATAAAGTGTGACTACAGGGTTTTTTGCTTTTCTTTTGTTTTTTAAATAAAAATCAGATAAATGAACAACTTTATTTATCCATTTGATAAATTTGCAAAATGGGGAATGGACTGGTTTGTGCCAGACTTGTCAGTAGTTTAATTCTAGACAAATAAATTACAATGGTTATTTGAATTTGAAATTTACTTCTCCAAAAAAATAGTTTTCATTTCAAGAACCTTGTATCTTACAGAAATAACATGAAAACTTCACCTCAAGTGCAACAGAGTGATATGGGTGGACACCTATGAACTCCTCATGGATCTTGGACATCAGTCCTGCTGTCTTCTTGCAGAAGTGCAAAAGGGTTATCTGAGAAGGACAAAGTCAAAGGAGATATTACACAGACTTACCTCTGACAGCTATTTATATCATTATTTCCCTGTCTCCTTCGACATAAGCAAATTCTAAACAAATTGGGAGTTCTTCCCAATCCTGAATCTCCCATTTCAGTAAGAATGATATGTAAGGGATGTTTCAAGATGGAAACGTGTAACTCTATCATCCCAGCCATCTGTTCATTTGTATGTTCCACAGAGAGAAGAATTGCTTCTGAAACTACAGTCTTTTCTTCCAGATATTGCTGTGGAGAGGACAGGAAAGAGAGAAAATAGAAAAGTTCACTAGTGTGAAGGAGCACAGACTCTTCTGTTGAGAGAAAGACTGGAAAGGAGGATTTCCCTCTGTCCACGATATCTTTTGGAACAATTTTGCAAAACCCTTTCTGCCATTTTTTTATTTCAAGAAGGATGAAAAAATGTATAAATATGGACACTCTCCTCTTAACAAGAAGCCCAAAAATGTGCAAGATTCTCCATTTTGAGGGTTCCTACCAGAAGCACGCTTACTTGTGAAACACTCAAGTGCCAGCACATTTGCAGTGAGCAGTAAACTAGGGCTGGACAGGAGTGACTTGAGACTCACTGATTTTTCAGCTTGCGGAGTTAGGGGGAGAGTAACAGTGAAAAGGATTGATATTGGATGGGAGAAGATTTATCCAAACCAGGAAAAAATTGTTTGGGTTCAGTTTATTTCAGGGATCAGGTTCGTTCTTATAGCTTGAACTGGTTTTCTTGTCCAGGGGCCATTGTAATCCATCCAGAAGGCTTTAAGAGCTGCTCCCATGACAACTAATGAGCAAAGCCTTTTGGGTTCACTTCAGGTAGGAAGGCAGGATGGAGAATTAGGCTTGGGAGTTCTGAGAATATCAGAAGCACTGCAGGTGGCAGAAAATAAACACAGCTGAGCAACAGAATCCAGGCACGTACTTCTGCTCAGTTAGGCTTTGCATGGAAGCACAAGCTCTTCGGTTAGAGGCTCTGTTTTGATAGCTGAATCTGTGGAGACTGTGTTACAGTAACAAAGTGAGAAAATGGCTATACAACATCAATGGCAACATTTACCTTCAAAAAAAGTCCTGTTAATTAGAACTAAGACTCCCATCTTTCTATAGCATATACACCTCTACCCTGATATAACACGACCCGATATAACACGAATTCGGATATAACACAGTAAAGCAGTGCTCCGGGGGGGGGGGCGGGGCTGCGCGCTCCGGCGGATCAAAGCAAGTTCAATATAACGCTGTTTCACCTATAATGCGGTAAGATTTTTTGGCTCCCGAGGACAGCGTTATATCGGGGTAGAGGTGTATATGTTTCCACCTAAATGCCTTTCTTCAATACATATTTCTAGTTTCCATTCCCTTCTCTCCTATTTTCAGCTCATTCTGGAGTTTTCTCCAGATGTTGCTAAAATTCAAAAAGCACTGAAATGAGGAAAATGGACACTTGTAAGTTGGATGGTCACAAACTTATTGAGCCTGATCCACCACAGCATTGCTTCAGCTTCATGGCAATTTAACTTCATGCATTTACTCTCTAAACGTGGGATACAACACAGCCTCTTATAAAATAGAAATTCTTCCAAGAAATCCCAAAGGAAGGTGCTAAAGCATTGTATGAACGAGTTTGCTATGTATTTCAAAATGTCATTGCAATATTTATAAATTAATCAGTGTGTGTATTCAAATGCTTCCTTCACAGTGGAGATATCGACCATCAACTATGTCCTGTAAATATCAGAAGAGAGGATGCTATCACCAATGCATTGCTGCTTATAAGATCTTGTTCACTTCTTGCTCTGGTTTAACAACTTCATTTTCCCACATTATATCAAAAAGTTAGATTTCCTTCAAATATCCAGTATAAGGCATTCTGCAAAGCTAACATGGATACCTGATAGATAGCAAGGGAATGCGACAACATATTGCAGCGACTAGCTCCAAGTAGATCCACCTTCTGACAGACATCCATTTTCAACTTGTCAAACTGAGCTTTGGTATTTTTCACTTGCGTCTGCACCTAGAACCATGAAAGTTGAAATATATAATAGCAAAAGGAGATCGTAGCTACCTGTGTGTTTTGCAGAAAAGAACCCCTGAAAATGTTTCACAGTCCTAGTATGTACAGCACTCTCATCCTGGAGAATCTATAAACTCAAGATTGCATGGCAATCTGTAGGAGTAATTTGTAGGCCCCATTGTTATAGGTATTGCACATGCACACACAATGTAGAGATTGTCCCTGCCCTAAAGAATTTATAATAAAATGTCAAAAACCCTAGAAATTAGCTGCTAATTATCATCTCTTCACTGCCAAAATGAAAAAATATCCTGTTTATATGCAAGAAAGTAATGTTAAAGTTGACATAGCATTCAGATAAACACTCAGGAAATTCAGAAATCCACAGCACCTTTAATTGCCCACTTGCAGGAATACACTACAATCTGGTCTTGTGACTGCATACAGGGGCACTATCTGATAGTAAGTAAGGAGTCTGACTTCCCTTCACCCCACTCTTTGGTCAGGGAAAGTGCTAAAAGAATAGTTGCAGGGAGGCTAGAATGAGGAAGGCAAGGCGCTACACCTGAGTTGGGAAATCTTTATGATGTATATTTTTTGCTTATGGTAACATGCTCTGATTTTTGCTGATAAGCACCTTCTCCTGCTTCAATAATCAATAAATTTTAAAAAAAAATTCCTGACTTCCCTCAGCAGCTTACATGTAGCGTCTGGGATTTTAAAGCAAGAGGGAGAATATGTGTACACTAACAACATGGAGCAGAAGAACCTGATGAAGTGGTAAAAGGAACAGCAACAGAAAGAAGAGAAGCAACATCAGCTCCAGTAACTTATGCAGTGGCAGCAGCAACACCACCACCAACAGGAATTGAGATGATGAGGCAAGCTGCTTTGCTTGTCAAGAGAGGTGATCTGTCTTCTGTTACCCTTAAGGAGGAGGGTTCTTAACCAAAATGGAACCTCTGTATTATAATGAAGATCATACAGTATTCTGTTTTTCAATTATACTGTATTTTATAACTAGTAAGTCACATTGCCTTGTATTGTGTGACCACATGATTTACTGTAATCAAATACTAAGACATGTTTCTACTAAGAAAACTTAAAACATCCTACTGGTGCATCCTAGTATAAAAGACAAGGCTGTGGTGGCCAGACACACCCAGCTGTGAGCTCTGTGCCTGGTCCAGGCAGCTCCCAGGAGCCTCGGTGCAGCTGCTAGGCTCCCCACAGCTGAAATGGTACTGTACATGGTTTGTCCTTGTCGACACTTGCAACTAAACCACGTTCAATTGCACCCATTGCTAGCAAGAAGGAAATAAATACTTTTCTGAATTTCTCCATTTGCTTGCAGGTGTCAGGATCCAGTTCTTGGGACACATCCTTCATCCACAGCAAGGCCCCTCTGTATTCTATGCGGGCCTGCTCCATATGATCAATTGTTAACAAGGTATCAGACACAGCCCTGTGACTGAATGTTGCCAGTTCCTGCCCAAGGCGAGACAAGGGGGTACAAAGGGCTACCCTGGAGGTAAAAGAAAGGAACAAGTAGAATGGGTTATATGCCAAATGCAAATACATATTTGGTTGTGGGGGAGAGCTGGGAGGAAACAAACAGTAAATTCCAGTAGGAGACAAGCTACAATTTTTGTGTATGTGTGACTATATGTTGTGGTGAATGCTTTCTTGCATGTAGAAAACGCCTCAAAGGGCCTGACTCTGAAAGGTACTGACCACCTCCTGCTAGATGCCCTCTGAAGTGAATGGAGCTTGCCATTTTGCAGGATAAGACCTAGGGTACATGACTACACTGCAGCCACAAGTGTAATTTGCAGCTTATGTAGAGGTACGCATGCTAGCCATACTCTAGCTCAGGGCTAGTCAACAGCTGGACCATGGGCCAAATCCGGACCACCAGATGTTTTTGAACAGACCACGAAATCTTTTTATTTACTTATTATTATCATTATTGTTATCTTTGTATAATTCTCTCTAGAGTCCGGACCTTGACTATACCTGAACCAAGAAATTTGGACCTTGACAAAAAATAATTGATTACCCCTGCTCTAGCTGTACATACCCGTCTGAACCTCCTGAATACATAACCACTTGTGCAGCCTGTGCTGAAGCCCATGCTGCTGCATCCTCAGTTCTATATTTAGTGAGCTAGATAGAAAAAAGCTAGCAAGAGTACATCTACACAAGCTGCCATTCACATGTGTGGCTGCAGTGTAGTCATACCCCAAAGTGGTCAAACGCTACAAATGCCAACATTCATAAAAGAGAATGGTCATACATAACTTAAAAGAAATGTAGCAAGCTGCCAGGACCAGAAAGGATGCATTCATGTAGTATTCATTTGGAATTCCCAGGTTTCAGAACACAAATGGAATTAAAATATCATACAATAGTAATGAGTAATGTTGTGCTCTTGGCATCACATACTAGACAAGCAGGTGAAGGTTCTGGTCCTGATCGCATGGGTGTATGTTTCTGCACAGTAGCAGCAGTACTGTTAAAAATGTCAACCTCCAGCTAGCTGAAAGTGGGCATTTATAATTTGACTGCATAACGGTTACGGTTTAACACTGCCTAAGCAACTCTGTTCTAAAGGCCCTTTTTCAGCTGTTTATAACTTGCCAAACTCTCAGCTGTCAGGCTGAAACTTGCCAGGTTTGGTTTCTGCTTATGAGTGGACTTTTTTGGAAAGTTTGAACAAAATAGTTGAACCATTTTTTTGAGAAAAGAGTATGGGAGAAAAAATACACCTTTGGCATAAAATATGTGTGACAAACCCACCTATTATCAAGGCTGCCCAATGCTTTCCATTATAAGACCACATTTTCAGTTGCTTATAAATTTGTAACACTGTAACCATTCAAATTTCCCATGCCAGGTGTATGCCTTAAGCTGAATTTTTTTGGAAAGTTTCAGCCAAAACGGTTCAGCCATTTCTGAGTATGAAGCAAGGGAAAAATAAGTTGTTTTGCCCATGTTATAAGAATTCTGGTGAGCATAAGAATGGCCATGCTGAGTCAGTCCAATGGTCCATCTAGTCCAGTATCCTGTCTTTCAACAGCGGCCGGTGCCAGATGCTTCAGAAGAAATGAACAAACAGGGCAATTTATCGAGTGATCCATCCCTCATCATCCAGTCCCACTTTCTAGCAATCAGAATTTTAGGAACACCCAGCGCATAGGGTTGTGTCCCTGACCGTTTTGGCTAATAGCCATTGATGGATCTATCCTCCATGAACTTATTCTACGGGTTGACTATGCATTGTGTGAAGAAGTACTGCCTTATGTTTCTTTTAAACCTGCTGCCTATTAATTTCACTGGGTGACCCCTGGTTTGATATGTTATGTGAAGGGGTAAACAATACTTCCTTATTCACTTTCTCCATACCATTCATGATTTTATAGACCTCTTATCATATCCCACCTTAGTTGTATCTCTTCTAAACTGAACAGTCCCAGTCTTTTTAATCTCTCCTCATATAGAAACTGTTTCATACCCCTCATCGTTTTTGTGGCCCTTCTCTGTACCTTTTCCTAATTCTAATATATATATATATATATATTTTTTTTTTGAGATGGGGCAACCAGAACTGCACACACTATTCAAGGTGTAGGGTACTATGGATCTATATAGTGGCTTTGATATTTTCTGTCCTATTATTATATCCCATTCCTAATGTTTTCTAGCATTTTGTTATCGTTTTTGATTGCCACTGCACATTGAGCATATGTTTTCTGAGAACTATCTACAGTGACTTCAAGAGCTGTTTCTTGAGTGTTAACACCTAATTTAGATCCTGTCATTTTGTATGTATAGTTGGGATTATGTTTTCCAATATGCATTACTTTGCATTTATCAATATTGAATTTCATCTACCAATTTTTTTTGCCCAGTCACCCCATTTGATGAGATCCCTTTGTAATTCTTCGCAGTCTCCTTTGAACTTAACTATCTTGAGTAATTTAGTATTGTCTGCAAACTGCAAATTGTTTACCCCTTTTTCCAGATCATTTATGAATATGTTGACCGGTTCTAGTTCCACTACAGATCCTTGAGGGACTCCAGTATTTACCTCTCTCCACAGTGAAAACTGACCATTTTAGTCCAACCCATTGTTTCCTGTCTTTTAACCAATTACTGATCCATGAGCAAACCTTCCTTCTTATCCCATGACTACCTACTTTGCTTAAGAGCCTTTGGTGAGGGACCATGTCAAATGCTTTCTGAAAGATTAAGTACACTTTATCCACTGGATCACCCTTGTCCACGTGTTTGCTGACACCCTCAAAGAATTCTAATTGATTGGTGAGGCATGGTTTTCCTTTACACAAGTCATGTTCACTCTTCCCCAACAAATCATGTTAATCTATGTGTCAGTAAAGAACTGAATTATCAATTGTTTCAACCAATTTGCCTGGTACTGAAGTCAGACTTACTGGCTTGTAATTGCCAGGATTGCTTTGGGAGCCTTTTTTTAAAATTGGCATCATGTTAGCTATCTGCCAGTCATCTGGTAGAGAGACTAATTTAAGTGACAGGTTACATACCACAGTTAGTAGTTCTGCAATTCACTTTTGAGTTCCTTCAGAACTCTTGGGTGAATACCATCTGGTCCTGGTGACTTATTACTGTTTAATTTAGCAAAACCTCCTCTACTGACACCTCAGTCTGGGACAGTTCCTCAGATCTGTCACCTAAAAAGAATGGCACAGGTGTGGGAATCTCCCCCAAATCCTCTGCCATGAACACTAATGCAAAGAATTCATTTAGCTTCTCTGCACTGGCGTTGTCTTCCTTGAGTACTCCTTTAGCACCTCAATTGTATAGTGACCCCACAGATAGTTTCGCAAGCTTTGGGACTGGGATGAGAAGCCTGAGGAGAAGAGATTGTACTTGGCTAGTTGAGGAGAATGGGACTGGGACAAGGAATCAGGAGTGCGGATGATACAGGCCTGGGACAGAGACAGGGCAGAAGGGGTCAAGCTCGGGGTAATTGGGCAGAAGAGTCTGTGCCCACTAGAGCATACTTCCTTGCAAAGCCTGGAACGGAACCCACGATTTGTGAATCTCACCATTCCTGTACGGTCAGTACATATTTGTGAAACTCACTGTCAAAGTGCCCTATCCCTCTCTAGTCCAGGTCCATATAGAGGATGACAACCTATTTTCACTATCAGTTATTCTGTTAGCTCAACTGACAGAGGTCTTTGTGGAGAATTTAAATTTTTCAACACTGCAAAAGACCCATGTGGATGCCAATACGATGCTATATGATGGAATTTCTATTTTTTCAGTTCACTTTTTTAAAAACTTAAGAAATTAAACAAAAGCTACTTTGGGCCCCCTTGTGCATATGCATATGCATTATGATACAGTCTTTAATTACATAATCACATACTATTTTTCCCCACAGGAGTCCTGCTTGATTCACTGCATAGGATGGACTTGCTCTGGGGATGAATCAGGGTTGTGTAGTGAAGAAGGCTGTTGTCTGTACAACCCCTGCTTCATTTGCTCCAGGAATTGGAAAATGTGTAGTGAATGAGGCAGGGGATTTCAGGAAGAAATGAATGGTTTCATGATTAAGGCAGTTGAATGCTGCCTGGCAGAACTGGATTCTATCTTTGCTCCGCCGGTGTTTGTATATGTTAGGCAAGTAAGTTAAACCAATTTTTTCATAGATGGTCAGTCACCAATTGTGTGTTGCTGGGTATGAAATGCACAAGTGCTAAGCATCCACAGCTGCAACTGAAGTCAATATCAAATGTGCTTTGATCATAGGAAGTGCTATATAATGCTATGTAATCTGAAAAATCAGGTCTCAGCTGTCACAAATCAGCCACCTAAAATTAGTGGATACTTTTGACCTTAATCTCTCTGTGCCTCGGTTCCTCATCTGTAAAATGAGTACAGTATCCATTCATCTCACAGGGGTCTTGTGAAAACAAATTAATTGGTATTTGTGAAGCACTCAGATACTATAATAATGAGTGCCATAGAAAAGCCCATGAAGAAATTAATAATTCTGACTTCAGAGCAGGGTTTGAATAGCGTGGAGTAAGTAAGGCCTGGGGCCACACATTGAACAATGAGGATAAAACAACATTTTGAATAGCTGCTCATTGAGTGAGCACCATTCATTCTCTGCACTGGATGAAGCAGGAGTCCTGTGGAAAAAAAGAGATGTTGTGTACTTAAAGACTGTATCATAATGCCTACAAGGGGACCAAATTAAGGTTGTAAAGGCAACCTTAATTGTGACATTTCTTAATTTTTGAGTGGTTGATTTTGCAACCTTGATCATGTTTTTTTATGTAGTCTTTTTGTGTTTAATGTATACAAACACACACATTACAGTTCTCACCTCAGCAGGAGGCAATAGAAACAACATTTGGTATAGCGGTAATACCTAATTGGACTTAGTGATGCTTTTTGGTGGTCCAATAAAAATACTTTGACAAGCTCTAGGGTTTTAAAAATCTATCATGAAGGTACTGTAATTTTAAAAATTATAGTAGGAGATGGTTATCATTAATATCCCAACATTCTATTACCACTGCACATGTATGCACAAAAGAACAGAGTGGAATTTTAGATCAACACATTAAAAATTTGTGGAAAAATTATCTCCTCCAATGCACAAGTGTGTTATCATTGAGGCAGGGTTAAGGAGGATCCTTGCCTTGTTCCATACAGTCTTTGAAGGGCTTCAGCCTGGCCTCATAGCACTGTCTGGCAAATAATTCTACATTTTGGAAATTAACTTTATCATTTAATTTTTTTAAAACCCTAGGAAATTCCAAGAAAAAAACTGCATTAAAAGAAATTGAAGACCATGATCCTGATTAATTTTCTGCATACAAAGTTAAATGTGAGTCCTCCTGTGCATAAAGTTACGCACCTGCACAAGGGTTCGCGATAACAGGACTTAAGATGTAAGGTGAAGAACTCAAAAAGTTAACTAACTTTGCCCCACATTCATATGACTTATGATAGTCTTACACAATCATATGCTATTATTTCTACACCTGGTTAGAAATTTTCCAATAGAATGTTTGTTTGTTGGAAAATGCCAATTTGTGAAAAGCAAAATGTTCTGCAGGTTTCAAAGGAAATTGGCCAGGGCCTTCCAGGTTCAACTAATCTTTCAAAGGAAATTAGCCAGGGCTTTCTGAGCTCCTGGCTCATCATCAGTCCACCTAGTGGCTGCTGAGGCTCCAAGGGGTTCCAGGTATCTGGCTCCTCAGCAGCCTGAAAACTTCAAGGCCAAGTTCCAAGGCTCCCAGACAGGGCCGGCTCCAGGCACCAAGCACCCAAGCTGGTGCTTGGGGCGGCACCTGGAGGGGGGCGACGCGGCGCTCTGGCTGCCGGGGGGAAAGCCGAGCCGAGCCCCAGCCGGGGCTCGCCGCCCTCTCGCCGCCCTGCCCCCGGCGCTCTGGCCGCCGGGGGGGGAGCCGAGCACCCGCCGGGGCTCGCGGCCCTGCCCCCGGCGCTCTGGTCGCCGGGGGAGGGGCGGGAGAGCCGAGCACCCGCCGGGGCTCGCCGCCCTGCCCCCGCCGGGGGAGAGCCGAGCACCCGCCGGGGCTCGCGGCCCTGCCCCCGGCGCTCTGGCCGCCGGGGGGGAGACCGGAGCCGCCGCCGGGGCTCCCCACCCTCCCCCGGGGGCTCCGGCCGCCCCCCCCGGCAAAAAAGCCAGAGCCGGCCCTGCTCCCAGATTCTTGACAGGTTTCCTGGGATGGTGGCAGTCATGGAGCAGTGGAGGCCAGGGTTTTCAGGCTACACTCCTTGACAGCCCCAGAAGCATATTTCATTTCAGAAACAAAATATTCCAGAATTTGACTTCCACAAGAATTTGAGGGTTTGATTTGTCCCAATTTGAGCTGAATTTTTTTCCCCACACCTCAAGTTGTTTTGTTTTTGAAGAGGTGAAATTCACTTTCTTGTTCAGTTATATTTATTTCTACAGGTCCCCTGCTACATTTGATGTGTACGCTGAATGGTGAATAGTGAATGAGGCAAGGTTAGACAGTCAATGAGAGATGCTGAGAACCAAATTGTTTGCAACTACCATTCACTTTACACTTGTGTAACTGAGGCATTTTCTAGACTAGAATTGAAGGTGTGATGTTAGCCTGTGTTAGCATATATAACACACTTTGAAAGTCTGCTATAGAAAAGGCACGCTGCCTTTAACACGTGCTAAACTGGTCGAGTTAAACCTGGGGGGATCCCAGGCTTCAATTCAACCAGCTGAGCATGTGTTAAAGGCAGCTTGCCTTGTCTGCACTAGACTGATGTGTTAGCATATGTTAGCTAATGTGGGCTAATCTATTTTAATTCCTAATCTAGATAAAGCCTGAGAGCACATCTGGGACCTCCGTGGACAGAGTAGACTTTATATAGTGAATGAAGCATGATTAAAAATACATATTTAATCCACTGTCCTTCATCCAACCTGTGCTCTGAATTAGTCATATTTATAGTGGAAATAACAGTATGTGATCATTAACAAAAGAATGTATTATGATGCAAAGTGGCATAATTAAGGTTGTCTGGGTAACCTTAACTTTTGGTATGCTTTACAAATTTTTTTTTTTAAACATAGGTTCAAATTTAGAACTTACATATAATTCTTCAATGCACTTTAGAGGAGGGTAAGTATTATCATCTCCATTTAAACCTGGGGAAAACTGAAGTAATTTGTCCAAGATTACTCAGCAGGTCATTGACAGACCTGGGATTGGAGCACCCCATTTAAGATAAACTAACACACCCCAGACTAATTAAAATGTTCTGTGACACTTCTGTCTTTGCTTCAAACAGCAGTGAAACCCATTATGAATGGCCTTATTAAAGAACCTCTTTTCAATAACCAAAGTACCCTTTTCAAGGCAGAGATAGCAAAGAAATCAGTTTTAAAGAGAAATATTACTTCCTTCTATACATCAGATTGTTTTTCCTTTGTGAGCTTGAAGATATTGGGTAAAATGCAGTCATGGTGTAAATAAATGCAACACCCATATAAGTCTCTGGCTAACTTCTATGATGTAAATGATGTACATTAATCAGAAAACTGGTGTAAATGATATGGTAGTCTAATTTGCAAGAGAAGTCCATCAGGCCTGATTCTGCCACCCTTAGTCATAATAGGTAATAATTCATACTCATAGGCCCATTAATTGCAATGGGACTGCTTACATAGTAAGATACTACCTGACATAAATAAGGTTGGCAGAATACAGCTCTCAGCAGAGATTAAAATGAGTAACTTACACACCAAAGGCACAAACAAGGGAATACAGCAGGAAAACCAGCTAATAGGATGGTGTAACAGCATAGGGGAGATGCTGATCTGTTCCCTGCTGCAATTTTCCTGCTGCCCCTTCTCAGTGTACACTTGTTTAGTATATTGGTGCAAGCTATACTACTTTATCATTTGCACCCACTTATAATGTTTTTTGATCAATTTACTCATGACATTTAATTTACCCCACAGTGTAGACTGCAGAATTTGGCCCAGTATGTTTTGTGCAGCAGTATGGTTTTTTTTGTAAGTTCAGTTCAATTCTATATTTATATTTGCAATTCAAATTTCACTGATCTTACTGTCTGTACTTCTTGATTATTTGTATTTTCTGTATATATTTCTTCTATTATAGTCTATTTGTTTTACATAAAATTGTATTTGCTTTCCATGGATCTAACTTCAGAATCTTAAAGCACCAAACAGATGCATTATTTCATGTACATAACTTTATATTAATAGCACCAAATGTAACTTGAAGGAAGACTACATAAAATAATTGAAAACCTTTGTTGAGCAGAAGAACAGAGGATCTTTCCAGTGGCTTCCATCATTTTGCCAGCTTTAGTAGCATCTTGCTCTCCTCGAACCTTTAAAAGGAGCCCTAGCTCATTTTCCTCCTCAGACATAACTATAAAAGGAAATAATTGCACAATATAAATAGATAAACTAACACTTCCAATGTATTTAATCATATTAAGAATAGTCCCCAGAGGGTGGGAAAACAAGCACATTATTGTTCAAAGTGATAAAAAGATCTTTAGGTTTTGACAGCATTTACAGTTGGATATGGTATGTATTGGTGGGAGAGGAGGGAAAGAAGGAATACGTTTTAAAGTAAAACATGCAAATGTCCAAATCAGACTTCTCAAGTACTTTTTTTCATGTGGGATAGTTGGGCATCTGAGACTCTTTGGTAGGAGACACTGATAAAGAATATAGAGGCATGCTACACAAAAGACTTTAGACATTAGTATCTTGTTGTTTATGGTAATTTATTACTACATTTAAAAATACTTTTAATTGAACTCTGACTCATAAAGGATGTACTTTAAGCAGTGATCCTTGTCTGCTTACTTTTACTATCCTTTGTTACTTGTACTATCTGTAGAACTTTATAGAGATAATACTGCGCCATAATTTAAGTTGGAAAAACTCCCAATTTTATTTAAAATCATTTATTTTCATAAACAGAGAGGAGCTTTTCTGAAAATTTAGGGTAACTAAAATTAAGTTTTATATAAACCACCGGTCATGTTTTCTAATAGTTGTAATGGCTTCCCTTAGTTCAATGAGAGCCTCAAGAATTAGGGCTACTAGAGCTAGTTGAATTAGCCATATAATGGTGTTCTTCATTTTCTGCAATTAGTACAAATATAGGTAGCATTAATGTATTCTATCAAGAAATCCCAAATCTTGGCACTCAGGGTTTACACTATAATAGTGACATTCTCCAGAAATTAAAAACCGTTTCAAATATGCCAGAAGGTTGTTTTAGGTTAAACAGTTATCTGGTTTTAACAATGGATTTAAATTCAAAACATTAAAAAAAATTAGTGATTGTTATTACACCAAATTAAAATACATATGTTATTGCATACCATTGAGTCTCTGCTGGTATTTCTCAATAGTCTTTAGAAGATCTATACAACTTGCCTGAATGGAGTGAAAAACCTTGGGGAAAAAAGAGTTAGTACATTAGTCTATGGAAATAGTAATGTGAATATAAATAAGAAAATGTCTGCTTGGTATATAACGTTCTACGGCCTAAGATTGAGCACGTTTACCAGTAAAAGAAATTTAAAGCTAGAGAGATTCTTTTAGAAATCATTTGTCTGTTTCAATTGAGATAATCATATATATGACTTCCATTGGTAAATATTCTTCTAGGCAGAATCTATCCAAAGCCTATGAACCAAATTCATCTCTAGCATAAGCAAATGCAATGAAGTCAAAGGATCTTGCACCTCCTTACACTGGGGCTGAATTTGACCTGCAAACAAACTTACTCAATATAATCAGGATAGAGACACACAAGAAATGAAGGTTACTTATACAGGGTATGTCTGCACTTCAAGCTGGAAGTGGAATTTCCAGCTCAAGGAGATATATCTTCACTAGCTCTGCTCAAGCTACCATGTAGTCACAGCAGCGGGAGGGGCTGGCCACCCCACATATGTGCGTACCATCTCAGACAGATAAGTACTTGGGCAGCAAAACATAGATTCCATGGCTATTTCCATGCTGTGGACTATATGGGGCCCTCCTACTTGTTGAAAACCAAGACATTTACAACTAATACCATTACAGCATCATCTGTATTTTCTTTCCAGTCACCATCCATTCGCCGGATGTTTAGTAATTCTTTTGATGGTGGAAAAAATCAGTAGCAGGGACATCTGCAGGATGAATGCAAGCATGAATGGATATTTGTCAAAGGCAAGTGCCACTGCATGAAGTAGAAACCCAAATGCCATAACACGGTAAACAATTTTTGGTTATATATGTGGAAATATAGGAATACCGAAGTGATAAATTGTAGCTGCTATCCATGATAGGTGGTGAGGGCTTAGAGGGGAAGCTTGAACTGATGGCCAGTCACCCATGAGATGTCAGGGAGACAGGCCAAGATTTGTTTCTTTTTAGACATTTTAGATCTTTTCCTTGTGAGAAGAGAGGGTAGCAAATACTCAGGAAGCTAAATGTCAAGATGGTACTACTGCAGCAATGAGTAAAATGTTTCTGTAACGGTGGCATGCCCCTTTTAAGGGTAAAAGGCTTTGGGACAGTCAGCCCTGTTCTGTAAGCCCCACCCTGCTACATCTGTGTAGGGTTGGATTTAAGAGGAAGGAAGCCCTGCAGTGGGGAAAATCGAGGAGACAGATTGTCCTATGGCCTAGCTGAAGACAGGAGCCAGTCAGGGACTACAGCCTGCCTGAAAACCTGGGTAAAGGGAGAGTATGCCAGCCTCTGGGTAGTGAGGTTGAAGCCTAGGAACTGGGGTTTGGACAGTTTATTATTGCAGCTGGGGTTAGCCTGCAAAGGAGGAGGCTAATAGCCAAGCCTGGCTGGACTGAAGATTTGGTTGTTTTGCTATGTTCTGTAGACTTTAAGTGACAGACTCTGAGGCCCCAAAAAGATTGGACTCTGTTACATGGCTTGACCAGACAGCTAGAATGAGTCAGAGAAAATACTGGGTAAATTGAGGCAGGGCTGCTGCAATACCACTTCCAGCCATTGGTGATGGTTTCCATTTCCCTCCTAAAGCCTCTATAATAGACCTAAAAGTAGGGTTACCATTCGTCCGGATTCCCCCGGACATGTCCGGCTTTTTGAGCTAAAAATAGCGTCCGGGGGGAATTTGTAAATGTCCAGACTTCCCCCCTCCCTCCCCCATGCAGAGCGCGCGCGGCTAACAGGGCAGCCGGCCGGATGGTGCCACTTACATGGGGCTCCGACAGCCAGAGAGAGCCCCTCCTCCGCTTCCCCTGCAGCAGAGATCACTCCTTCCCTCTCTCCCTCCCTCCCTGCATTCGCAGATCACCTCCGGCAGTCTGGAGCTCCTCCCCCACTCCTCCTCCACTGCTGCCCAGTGTGCCAGGACGAGCGGCAGGGTAAGGGGGCAGGGGGTCGGAGAAGGGGCAGGGAGGTTCTGGAGGGGGCAGTCAAGAGACCGGGGAGGGTCGGGAGTTCGGGGGGGGGG